GAGAGAGAGAGAGAGAGAGAGAGAGAGAGAGAGAGAGAGAGAGAGAGAGAGAGAGAGAGAGAGAGAGAGAGAGGGAGGGAGGGAGGGAGGGAGGTAAAGTGTTCAGCATTCTTCACTTCAAGGCACCAGCTGTTGCCAGAGATTCCAACCAACGTTGCTAAGCGCATATTGGCCTACGGACCTGGCACCACCGGTATCGGAGGGACTAAAGTGATATACGGTGGGACGGCTGTGGTACCAAATGGAAGCTCTCCTACATGCTCACCCTGAGGAATCCTGATGATTCTCATTCACCTACCTCCAGTCAGTTTCAGTTAAGCTTGAGCTCGAGTTAAGCTCCAACAACACTGCCCTGCCACAACAACCAATGCCATTGGGTGGGCACTCAACTCGTAACAAGACGGGACAATGGTTCTAGTGTGTGACAACAGATTCCAACTAGCTTCAGTTAGCTTCAGTTAGCTTCAGGTAACTGCAGTTAACTGCAGTTAACTGCAGTTAACTGCAGTTAACTTAAGTTAAGCTCCAGTTAAGCTCCAACAACACTGCCCTGCCACAACAACGAATGCCATTGGGTGGGCACTCAACTCGTAACACGACGGGTGTGCGACAACAGATTCAAACTAGCTTCAGTTAACTTCAGTTAGTTTCAGTTAGCTTCAGTTAACTTCAGTTAGTTTCAGTTAGCTTCAGTTAACTGCAGGTAACTGCAGGTAACCTCAGTTAAGCTTCAGTTAAGCTAAAAGCTTCAATGAAGCTTCAGTGAAGCTACAGTGAAGCTTCAGGTAAGCTTCAGTTAAGCATCAGTTAACTTGAGTTAAGCTCCAACAGCACTGCCCTGCTACAACCATTGGGCGGGCATTCAACTCGTAACAGGATGGGACAATAACTTTATATACCGTGCAACAACAGATCTAGTGTGGGACAATGGTTCTAGTGTGGGACAATAGTTCTAGTTCTAGTTCTAGTTCTAGTGTGGGATAATAGTTCTAGCGTAAGGGGGAGCTTATAGACTGAGCGAACCCACGTACCCCCCCCTACACACAACTTCCCTGCTACAACCATTGGGCGGGCATTCGTTTCGCCCTGGATTCGACTACCCCACGCGCCCATGGTGTTTTCGAAATGACCATTTGCAAAACAGCATACATTTCTTCGAAGTACATGTCGGGCATCATGACGACCGTGTCGCGCACAGCATCATTTCTTGAAAGTTGAAATGACCATTTGCAAAACAGCATATGACCATTTGCAAAACAGCATACATTTCGGACATAGCAAATGTCGCTCCCACCATCAACCACCTCCATGACAACATCGCTCCCATCGTCAACTCAACAAGACTCGCCTTCGGCATTTCTGAGGAATAGATAGAGTTGTTGCCCATCCGGAATGTTGTGATCGTGTAGTGTGAAACTGTCCTCCAACTCAACTCCGCCGTAAACGAGACGCTGGTGCCAGACACACAGCTTCTCGGCGCCATAAATCAATTCCTTGAGAGACTGCACTTTCGCATACGGCGAGATATTGCGGATCTCGATCGTCTTCTTGCCCCACATTCGTACGTATATGGTCATTTTCCCCTCGACAGGGTAATCGGGGTCCGGAGGGGACATCGGCGTCATGGGAGGCGGGTGGTGAGGGCAACCTGTATCCATCTTTCCTCCTTGGTGTACTGTTTGCCACTCCCAATCCTCCAATTGTTCCTATCACGCTGACGCCAATCCCAATCCTTCACTGGTTTCCGTTGTTCCTGTCGCAATGATGCCGATTCCGATCCTTCAACTGTTCCTGTCACGATGACGACTCTCGTTACCTGTGCTATTCTGTCTGCTCCCTGACTGTGCTCCTCCCCCTCCTCTTCCTCCTCGAACCCGTGATCTGTAGACGTCCCAACAGAGCTTCAGTATCTCAACCTAAGGACCACAGCTCAGCATCATTGAGGTGCACACACCACAGACAACATCACTAAAGGCATGGATAAGATTGTGGATAAGATTGTGGATAAGATTGTGGATAAGATTGTGGACAAGAATGTGGATGAGATTGTGGCATGATTCTTCTAGTTTTACGGTGACTATTCATTTTGTGGTTACCTTTGGCCTTTCATTCACTCTTTTTATTGGGGTTACTACAGTGGGATTTCAAACTTGTTCATAAGTTAATCATAACTCCTTTTTTTTTAAGAGTTTTTTATTACCGCGCAGCCTACCTTTGCCAGTAGCACCTTTTTTTGAACTAATTTCAAGAAGTACTAAAAAAGGTGAATAAGATTGTGGATAAGATTGGATAAGATTGTGGATATTCTTCTTGAACTAACTTCAAGAAGTACTAAAAAAGGTGGATAAGATTGTGGATAAGATTGTGGATACGATTGTGGGTAAGGTGGTGGATAAGATTGTGGATAAGATTGTAGATAAGATTTTTTAGTTTTCGCGCACTAAGTCTTAGAATACGGTTGTGGATAAGATTCTGGATAAGCTTGTGGATAAGATTGTGGATAAAGTAGTGGATAAGCTTGTGGATAAGCTTGTGGATAAAGTGGTGGATAAAGTTGTGGATAAGGTTGTGAATAAGGTTGTGGATAAGGTTGTGGATAAGGTTGTGGATAAAATTTTGGATAGGGGTTGGTCATCCACCCCTCTTCTGGAGGACACTATTTATAGAATAATAAATTCTGTAAGCAACATCTATCCAAATATGACGATTCTGTTCAAGATACCATCGTGTCGGTTGAAGATCACTCACTCCTGTTGAACAGATATTGCAACCACATTTGATTCCACTCAATGAGTGATCTTATCCACTCCTGTGCAACAGACATTCCATTTAGATCATTCCCTACTCCTATCAATTCGTATGTCTGTTCTCGCCCACCTTCTCCACTCCGGTTCAGCACACGTTGCAATCACATAAGCTTCCGCCCGATGAGTGACCTTATTTCATTTTTGACACATAATAATGGATGTGCATTGCAAAACACGTCTAGGTGCAATCACATAGACAAGACAGTAGGAACAAGTCCAGATGCAATGTTCTTTTTGACATCAATCAAACCGCCAGTGCCTTTCAAGAAACAAGAGTTCACTTCTGCCACTGCTCCTCTACTATTTCCCACAATTAGTCTCTCTCTCTCTCTCTCTCTCTCTCTCTCTCTCCTGTCTCTTATACACATCTAGATGTGTATAAGAGACAGCTATTATGGTCCGTGGGAAGTTTTGGACATGATTGGTAATGATGAGTTCGGTCCTTCATATGTAATTGTCGTGCCTCCTCATCTGCGCACATACCCAGTCTTTCATTCATCACATTTTTTTATATGGTGATGTAGAATCCTTTGACTATCGTGAAGACATGGTTCCCCGCGCAATCAATGGCGGCTACGAGATAGATACAATAAAAAAACGCATAGGGAAGGCACGTAACAGACAATATCAGATTCATTTCATGTATCACCCGTTGGACGATCTCTATTGGATCTCAAAGAAGGAACTGCTGCACAGCGCACCTTGCATTGTTAAAGCATACGAGCGACAGATAGCCTCTAGTGCTGTAACAAAAATTTCTGCAAAACTCACTGCTACTGAGTACTCACGAAATATCTTTGCTATGTTCGCCTACGGTGCGTTTGTCAGGGACTCAGAATGAGTTACTCGTTCGGAGGGACCTCACTCTTGAGAGGGGGGTAGTGTAATGACCTGCCAAACACGGACTCATGGAATGTATGCCTTGCTGAGTTTCCCGCTTGCTGCTGAGTTTTCTACGTCTGTGTGGGTGTGTGCTTGCTGGTCTGCATGCCTGTCTGAGTGCTTGTCGGCTTGAGTGTGTGTGTGTCCCGCACGTGCACTTGTTTGTTCAGAAGGCCCGAAGGGCCAGTACTTACCTATGGCCGTGACATTGAGGGTTGCAGTGGAGAAGACACTCAAGTAGCAGGTAGGCCAGACCACAGCAAGTAGAGGTAGATGTGCCGGGTACTCGAGGCCGAGCAGAAGAAGATTAAAGTCGGCATTTTTTAGAGGCCCAGTAGTTGTAGGCTAGGTCTAGGCGAGTACCAGTCCAACCAGTCTGAGTCTAGGGCCTGTACAGGCAACATCAGGGTCTGCAATGATGTTTCCCTCCGAAAGGGAGGAGGTGCTGATTGCTTGGAAGCCGCGCAGCCAAGGAAATCACTCGCCAAGAGGTAAGCAGGCCGCTATATCTCCAGCAGGAGCAAAGTGCTCCTCCTCATTGTCGGTGTGCAAGTTTGGCGACACACTGGTTGGAGCGCTGGCTGGAGCAGCGCTAGCACAGAGCTGCACTGCTGGGGAAGGAGCAAGGACAGGAGGAGGAAGAAGCCCAGGACGAGGACGGGGGAGCATCAGAGGTAATTACCTGGCTATGGTGGTTGCCATCTTCATCACTTTGGTGGGCGCTGCAGCAGGAAGGCCCCAGTTGGGGTAGAGCTACACCAAGAAGCTTCGAGGCAGAGTCAGGCATGACGGCCTGAGCTAGAGCAGCCATAGCTGCTTTGTGTTGTCCTTTGCACAGCAGGCCGATGCCCTGGTAGTCCGCCATAGCCTCAGCCTTGGAGGAAGAGGAAGAAGGGTGGCCATGGCTATGGTGGACCTCATGTGATACCTGCAGTAGAAGAGGGATTCGGACATCGATTCTGGTTCAGTCATTCAACATTATTATGATTATTTCTTGTTTGAATAAGAGGGGAGGAGATAAGGAGGAGGAGAGAGGTTAGGCGAAGAAGAAGAGCATTATCATTGATCTATACTGGTGTACATCATCATCTTCTTCTTTCTTTCTTCTTCTTCTTCTTCTTCTTCTTCTTCTTCTTCTTCTTCTTCTTCTTCTTCTTCTTCTTCTTCTTCTTCTTTCCCTCTCTCTCCTCTCAAAGTTCATTCATTTCTTTTTGCAATCGGATGGCATTGTACTTTCGGATGAATGTGTACTTCAAAATTGGCCAGGATCATAACATCTGTGGGAAGATGCACTCGTTTCATTTTTTCGCTCGCGTGCCGTGCGGCGGTGACTTCTATCTCAACCGCTCCAGGACATAGGGCCTTGCTGCACTACTCACCACATGCACAAAAGACAAAAAATATGGTGGTGTATCTTTCCCTGTTCTAGGGGAAGATTCATTCTCATTTTGCACATATGGAGAGTAGTACAGCGAGGCCCATAAGGTTTTGGAATTTGAATGTATCGTGGAGCGGGTAATGGTCCCAAAAGATTCAAAATGTTCGGTCAGTCCGGCTGTAACTGGTCCAAATACCATCCACATTCATTTCAGATGTTGTGTAGCAGAGGGAGGCCCTTTGTCTGTATGTCTGCACACCAGTATCTGATTTGATTGTTGTTATTTTTGTACCTCTCCATGCTTTCTGCACTCTCTCCCTCCCCCCTCCGCCCCACTCCCTTCTCTCTTTGTGTCTGATTTGATTCTTGTTCTTTCCGTGCCTCTCCTCGCAACAGGCCCTGTTCCACCCAGCTCAGCAGATCCAAGATTGAAGCAAATCTTACCTCCATTGCAGACAATGAAGCGCGCTTGAGATACGTCAATCCAACAATGAAACTGTTTACTCTATACTAGCCTATAGCAAGCAAAATGAAGCACAATAGAAATTGAATAGATGATAGATCCCTTTTATGAAGTTTTATCCCTTCCTTGACTATCTTCACTTTGGCTTTCCTTGGGGTACCCCTTTTACTTCTTCTTGCAGCTCCCCTTCTCCCCTTTTACTCTGGCTCTGACTTAACAAGGCTCGGCACGTGATTGTGGTCGAGTGTGAGCGGCCCACATCTCCGTGTGCTGTGTGTGGTTCCCCTCTCTCTCTCTCTCTCTCTCTCTCTCTCTCTCTCTCTCTCTCTCTCTCTCTCTGTGTGTGTGTGTGTGTGTGTGTGTGTGTGTGTGTGTGTGTGTGNCACACACACACGCTGACAGTCACCCACCCACCGACAACCGCAACCAGGCCCCCACCCCCACCACCCAACCAACACACACAAATATGGTGCAATGCTGCAGGCAAACACATCAGAGGTTTCTGAATGAGCTGGTAGGTCATGAACTGCCCTCACCCCACCCCTCTCCCCACTCATCCACCCACCCACAGAAAGGATAATTTCAGGGATAGATAGAAAAAGAGCTAAAAAGGTAATTTCAGCGACACATGCCAGTAGACCTCGACATCACAGCAAGAGCTCCCAACAGTGGAACACACATTGATCACCAGACGGCGCAAACGGCTTTCAGGAGTGGGAGGTACTAGCTCTCTTAAATGCATCTGACCGCATTTATGGACGTACCTGTATGTATCTGACCGCAATTACGTCCATAAGTAAAAAGGTCCTAGCGTGACTATTACCACTCTTTGCTGCAGAAACAGACCCCACTTCTGTCCCTCATGTCGTCAGGCACTTTCTACAAAGGGGTGTCTTTTTGCACCAATTGCACGAACGAAAGACGAGGGGGCAATGCTCCATGCCAAAACATCACTGGTTTCAGAGTGAGCTGATGGGCCAAGCCCTCACCCCCGCCCTCCTCCTCCCCTCCTCCCCTCTCCCCTCTCCCCTCCCCCCCCCACCACCGAAAAGCAATTTCAGCTACACATGCTACTCGGCCTCAACACCACAGCAACGTCTGAAGAGACTCTGCAGCACAATCGTCATCATCGGGCAGACTAATAAAGATATTACATGGAGATTACCATCACCTCTCCCTTTTTTTTGCCGAAATCGTCATCAAAGAAGCGGGGGCATGGTGATGTGGTGAAGAGATTCTGAAAATGGCGAGAAGTCATTTTTCCTCGTAATGACCCACAGGCCCACAGGGCCCACACCCCGAACAGGCCGTCCGTGGGTTTTTCTTTTCCCCCCTAAATTTGGACCGCTTCGCAATTTA